AAGAAAAAAATAAGGACTTTTGTTTTTGCTATGTTATCAAGGAGTTTCCATACATCACAGTATTCAGCAAAAACATCGAATGACTTGTATACCGTAAATCTGGAAATTTTTACGTCGATTTATTTTTGCGAATTTGGGTCAAAAAGCTGTTGATTAATTTTTACGCTTCAAATTTTTGCGAATTGTCACTGGTGCTAAAAATAAAAATCACTTAAGATTTTCAGATCAAGTTATGTTTCAAATAATATGCCCAGTTAGAATACCACCAATATATTCACAACGTTGCAAGATATTGCAAAATCGCTCCGAAACAATTTTGATAAAAATACAAAAGGATTTGCACTGAAAATAATTTTTAAATAAATTATAACAAATATTTTAGAGGTTGTGTATGCCTTTTGACCAAAAGTTTAATCCAAGTGAGGAATATCACTAATCATGGCTTTTAAGTACTTGAAAAGAAGATTTTAAAAGATTTCCTTATATACTCACCGTCAATAGAAACGCAACACCCTAATTTTAGGGGTGAAAATTATATACGGGATATAACTATGTACCAAAAAAGTTAGGACATCTTTTACTTTGCCAAATCAGTTATTTTACGGTTGAATGATTTTCATTCCATTACCGGAAGTTGATTTTTAGCCCCCTGAACAGAAATCAAAAATTTGCATTTTTAATAAAATTATTGACAATATTTTGGGTTTTCAGAATTCGGGCTGCTTATGTTGTACCTGGCGGACTAGCACGTTTTAATTGAATGGTCGGAAGGGGGGATGATTTAGAGTTATGTGTTACTTTATAAGGTTTAAAGATAAGATTAAGAATGAATACATAAATGTAAAAAGTAAATTTAAAAAACAAAGATACTTCATTTAAACTTTAAATATTATCTTTAGACCTTAGAAAGTAACACACAACTTTTAAAACATCCCCCCTTCCGACCATTCAATTAATACGTGCTAGTCCGCCAGGTACAACATAAGCAGCCCGAATTCTACCATGCATTAAGTTTATTAATGTCTAAAACTGAGCGAAATAAATATTCTTGTCCTTTTTTAAATGCCTATTTTTCAGATACTGAGGTCGAATTTTCTCTAACTTGGCATAGTGTTGTAACCCTTGGACTTCCGGTCAAGGAACTGTCATTCATGCTTTTAAAACACATGAGCCCGAAAAGTCGTTATGTAGTGTATATTTGCATCTGGAGCTCTCCCTTTTCTTTATTTTGAAAATTTCCAACAAAAGCAATGGAAATGCGTGCTTTCAGTTACTTTGAGGAAATACAGGCATCACATCCGGAAGAGAAATAAGGATATTTTTTCTGGACTTTTAGTACAAGACTTATAATTAACATGTACAAAAGCTTGAAAACCCAAAATATTGTCAATAATTTTATTTAAAATGCTAATTTTTTATTTCTGTTCAGGGGGGTAAAAATCAACTTCTGGTAATGGAATGAAAATCATTCAACCGTTGAATAACTGATTTGGCAAAGTAAAAGATGTCCTAACTTTTTTGGTACATAGTTATATCCAGTATATAATTTTCACCCCTAAAATTAGGGTGTTGCGTTTCTATTGACGGTGAGTATATATTCCTATGTAAAACTTTGGTCGGCCATTTTGGCCCCATCCTAGCCCAGGGGGATCAAGATTTGAACAAACGTGAATCTACACTACCTGAGGATAATTTCACATGAGTTTCATCTTTCCTGTCTCAATGGTTCTTGAGAAGAAGATTTTTAAAGATTTTTCCTATATATTCCTATGTAAAATTTTGGGTGGCCATTTTGGCCCCACCCTACCCAGGGGGGGTTATGATTTGATTTAACTTGAACTTTCAATACCTAAGGATGGTTCCACATGAGATTCAACTTTCCTGGCACAGTGGTTCTTGAGAAGAAGATTTTTAAAGATTTTTCCTATATATTCCTATGTAAAACTTTGGGTGGCCATTTTGGCCCCACCCTACCCAGGGGGGTCATGATTTGAACAAATTTGAATCTACACTACCTGAGGATGATACCATATGAGTTTCAATTTTCCTGGCCAAGTGGTTCTTGAGAAGAAGATTTTTAAAACATACCATCAAATTTTCACTATTTCTGAATTATCTCCCCTTGAAGGGCGTGGCCCTTCAATTAAACAAACTGGAATCCCCTTCATCTAAGGATACTTTGTGCCAAGTTTGGTTGAAATTGGCCCAGTGGTTTTTGAGAAGAAGTCAAAAATGTGAAAAGTTAACGACAACAACGACAACGACAGACGACGGACACATTTCAATCAGAAAAGTTAACTTGAGCCTTAGGTTCAGGTGAGCTAATAAAATAATTTGATAAGACTAGTGCTAAAACATTTTCCATCAATTCCACTCTGTAAAATTTTAGTCCATAAACCATGTCTCCAGACCGTATCAAAGGCTTGCACAAAATAACTTCTTTTTTATTATTCAGATCATTTTGCTCAGAAAATCAATAACAAATATATTATCAAAAGTGGAAAAACCTTTTCTAAAGACTGCTTCAGATTCATTGATTAATTCTTCCTCATCAGCAAAAGTATTTAAAAGCTCACAAAGTATACGGGTGAGAAGTTTTCCTAAACAACTAACTAAAGTAACGTAATTGGTCTGTAATTTTCAGGATGGTTTCTGTCACCTTTACCCTTATAAATAGGTTTAATTAACCCTATTGACCAATTTTCTGGTATTATGCCACTATCAAAATCACGTTGAATAATTCTACATATAGCTGCAGAAAGCTTGAAATAGTTGCTTTCATATACTCATTCAAAACAAAATCACCATCTGAGGTTTTATTGTTTTAAACTTATTTACTGCATTCTTTATTTCTTCACCTGTGATAGACTGATTATGAATACTATCTTTACTTAAGTCTACATTAATATCTATGTCATTATCTGGGACAATACCTTCATTTGTTTTCTTTAAAATTCAAATATAGAATCTATATCAACACCCGTTTTATTTCTTGGATTTAAGTTATATAAAATTATATTATATCCTGATATTCTTTCAATTTTCCTTTTTGTAATGATTTAAGTTTATATAAAATCCCATTATTTAATTCTTTAATACATTTTTCCATATTTTTTTTAATACTCTTTACTATTATTCTTTAGATTCTCATGAGATTCAATTGAATTTTTTTTTATCAATTATAGCGTTTGGCCAAATGAAAATTTCCTCTTGTTGTGCGCCAGGTATTATTAAACCATGGTTTAATTTTGTTATATGAATTCATGGATGGTTGATTTTTTCGTCTAAAAGTCTTCCCCGCTGAGGCAATAAAATGTTACAAAAATCGCTGGTAATTTTATCTATATCATGTTGATTTAAAGGTTTCGATTTTAATTTTTCAATACTGCTCAAAATTTCATTAAACAAATTATAGGTAGCGCTTTGTCGCAGTTTTCGTTGTCGATTGGTAGCGCCTTGTGGTAGTTTCCGGTGTTGGTTACGTGCCATAAAACGATTAGCGAATACGTCAACCGCTTAAAAAGTGTCAATACTAAATTAAAATGCAACAAGAAAATTGATACTAGACATTAAATCGGCCGCAAACAAAATTTAACATAAAAAAAAAAATTCTTTACAATTTTAAAAGCGTCCATACAAGGAAAGAACGGTAAGATATTCAAAGGTGACTAGTTGAATCATTTATTTCAGGCTGTTTTCAAAGTTAAACAAAATATTTTAAAGAAAAAAAAACGTTTTACCGCGTTTGCTCATATATTCATCGATGTCAAAAAAAAAAACAAAAACTAATGACCATTGAAGAATGATAAGAATGTATTGTTATTAAAATGAAGATGTAGGCCTCTAAAAATGAACCACGTGATAATACCCTAGATCTTGTTAATGTGAAAATGCCAATAACAGTTACAGTATAAGCTATGCTGCAAGCCGCGGTGCAAAAATGTAAAATATATTTTTGTGTCATTTGAAGCTGTACAGCTCAACGCACTTTTAAGCTCACATGGTTTTTCTCACAAATTAAGGTAACATTGTTATGATGTAATATTGTGTATCGAGGCATCAAAATACATTTTAAAAGTATTTGTTTACATTATTTGAATTTTACCAGGGGTATTACATTTACTTAAACATAATTCACACATATCAATTTGTATAGAACTTTGATATTTTCATGGCTGAAAAAATAACAACTACTCTCATTTGAATTCTTGTGGTTTTTTGCCAATTGCAACTGTCTTTTTATCCGTTTTTTGAAAGCAATAGCTCTTTGCAGCAACGTAGACATGGGTACATTTTAGCTACTGTAACTTCATCTGTTTGACTGTCTTATATGATAATAAGGTGGGATTTTTCAGAATCAACTTCTGAAATCTGGACTCGTGAGAGATTCACCCCACTGCAAAATTCCAACCTTTCAAACCGTAAATGCAGCAGAATTTTCTTTTTCATAAAAGGACTTTACTATTAAAAAATTAACAGTACTTCATTATAATACCCTTTAGTGTGGTTTCCTTTTGCAATGTTATCCTTTTTCGGCGCTACATTTCGACAAATCCAAGAGGAGTATGGTAAATGAACAAAGAATTTTCAAATCTACTCACCTTTAAGAAGAAAATTTAAAAACTTCAACTACATAGAATCTAGGAAAGCTTGTTTTTACAATTGTTAAAAACTTATGGTAGAATCGTATAGTCGAAACATCGTACAAATTTATATATAAATTCCCCTGAAACACATCCACTTTGGAAACTTGAATGCTTGAACATTATATATGTAATAATTTGATCCACTAGAACAACAAGATCAAGTTTGACGGTACCTTACATGAAGGTAATGTGTTAGTATACCTTTATGAGTTTATAATCAATATAACATTTATTATTTGTGTATTTACTATGTAAAATGTATTTTATCCGAGTAACACCAGTTTTATTAACAAATACTCGTATCGTTCGAAATTTGACCGGCTACTCGTTGACAATACCACATATATAACTCACCTATTTTAATTTCTTTTTTTACGCCAATCTGCCTATAAACCAGAGCTGCAATAAAAGAAAACCAACAGATAAGATTAAAAGAAATATTTGTCCTACACAGCTCTCGCTCTCTCTCTCTCTCTCTCTCTCTCTCACTCATAAACATATAAAAATATTAGGGAAATATTTCAAAAACACCAGTAGATAATAATGCAGGAATTCTGACGCACGGCCAGAAACACGTTTAGTTCCAATACAGTAACGTTTTCAGAAATCTTTAAAGTTGAGCACTGAAAATAGCTCGTTGTCATGAATTTACAGGTGAGGTTATAGCAAAATCCGTCCTGTGTCATTACTATAGAAGACAGTCCGAAAGCAGATTTTCATTTTTGTTAAATCATTCCAATCAATATCTGAAATTGCAATGGGGAACAGGACTGACAGCCCTTTGGTGTTATGTGAATTTCAGCCGTTAAAATAAAGTAAGAAAAGAGGAGTTTGCGTTGAAGATATTAAACCCTGGTGAAATCAAACGTACATCCCATTCATTTTCCTTCTGAAATGTTATATTTTTGCTAATAGAATTATATATAGATATGTATATATATATATATATATATATATATATATATATATATATATATATATATATATATATATATATATATATATATATATATATATATATATATATATATATATATATATATATATATATATATATATATATATATATATATATATATATATATATATATATATATATATATATATATATATATATATATATATATATATCTATCTATATATATATATATATATCCAAAATTTAAATAATGTCTCAGTAATCGGATAACAATATTTAAAAAAAGGTAAAAAAGAAAACACAAAAATCCTCAGCTAAGCTTTAGCGCTTTCATTTTTCAATCTTCAGAAGCTTACAATGTAAACAGGAACCAAATTAGCCGACCGTGTTCGCGTGCACAAACAACAGATTAAGGATCCGACCATACGAAACACGCCATATAGTGAACAGTTTGATTCTTGTTGCAAAGGACATTTTTATATATTTCCTTTTTACAAAATAAAAGAGGAAAATGAACAATTACGGAAACCCAAAGAACAATATTTTATAAATCTGTTTAAACCAAAATTGAACTGTTAAAAGGAATTTATATCAAATTATTTTATTATGTACATTTCATATAAAATGTCTCCATTATTGTACATTTATAATAGGCGCTTAACTTTGATCAGAGGAACTGTAAAACTTTATCTGTGCGCCTCATTTAACTGTGATTATTATTACGTCACAATCATAATGTTTAACGTTGCCTACATAACGTCACGAGAATGACGTCATAATGTAACTTGTTTACAATTTCAAATCTACTGATGAGCCCGCATGGGGCGAAAGCGCTTTAGATAAAAGTTTGAGTTTATCATTTGAATTTGGATTTTATTTTATCCCTATACCAAGGAAAAATAATTTTTTGATATATATATATATATATATATATATATATATATATATATATATATATATATATATATATATATATATATATATATGTAACAGGAAAGGAGAAAATGCATGGCTGGACCGGGAATCGAACCCGGGACCCCTGTATCTCTAGTCAGGTGCTCTACCGATTGAGCTATCCAGGCCGATATCCACGGCCCTAACCATTACATTCCTCCCTCCTTAAATGGTCTTCGCCCTCGAAGACACAACCCAAGTTCTTATTGCCCCTGGCAGGACTTTCACCTGCAATTCCAGGGGTGGTCAACGGCACCAAATCTGTAACAGGAAAGGAGAAAATGCATGGCTGGACCGGGAATCGAACCCGGGACCCCTGCATCTCTAGTCAGGTGCTCTACCAACTGAGCTATCCAGGCCGATATCCACGGCCCTAACCATTACATTCCTCCCTCCTTAAAGGTCTTTGGCCCTCCAAAGACCCCAACCCAGGCTCATCCCTGGCAGGTCTTTCACCTGTCAATTCCAGGGCATGGCACGGCACCAAATCTGTAACAGGAAAGGAGAAAATGCATGGCTGGACCGGGAATCGAACCCCGGTCTCCCGCGTGACAGGCGGGGATACTTACCACTATACGATCACGGCCCCAAATGTAACTGGGGAGGAGAAAATGCAGCGGACCAGACCGGGACTCGAACCCGGGCCCCCTGAAACTCCGGTCAGGTGCTCTAACCACTGAGCTATCCAGGCCGATATCCACGGCCCCGAACCATTACAATATATATATATCCAAAAATGAAAAGAAATAGCACAGTGTCCGGTAATAAATATTAGAAAAAAATGATAAGGCAACAATGTTAGTAAAACGTAAGCGCTTTCTTCATTATTTCTTCAGACGTTTTACATTTCAAAACAATTAAAAATTTGACGTAAAAACGTTACCTGTTGATAACGCCAACAACAATACAATGACGTCACAAGGCTTATAGAGGAAACAATTATAAAGTCAAAGTAAAATAACATAATTCATAGCGTAATAAATAATTAAGTCATGAGACAGTCTATATTAAACTGTTGATTGATTGATTGATTGATTGTATATTGTTTAACGTCCCTCTCGAGAATTTTTCACTCATATGGAGACGCCCCCACTTGCCGGTGGAGGGCTACAAATTTTGTCCTATGCTCGGCGCTCAAGGCCTTTGAGCAGTGAAGGATCTTTTTCGTGCCAACACCTACTGCGACCCGGGCCTCGGTTTATACGGTCTCATCCGAAGGACTGGTCTCCACGTCCCGCAGTGGGATTCGAACCCGCGACGTAAGGATTGACTCCTTACTTCGCGACTCTAGAGCAGACGCTCTAACCACTGGTTTAAAAATCTTTATAAAATGTTTTTCTTTTTCCCGTCTTTCTAAAACATTTTCTGTTTTGAGTTTATATAAGGGATAAACTATGAACTGTCCCTGTCCACAAATATCAAGATGTTCACTGAGTTTTATTTTTCTGTACTCGGGTAGGTTGATTCGTATTCGTATACGAGTGCGAAGGGCGGTTCCGGTTTCTCCTATGTATAATTCTCCGCATCCAGCGCATGTTATACAATAAATCAGGTTTTTTGATGCACAGGTCATTTCTGCATTTACGGTGAATTTCTTATTTCCAAGTGTAAAAGTACATGTACTTCCCTCTTTAATATATCGGCAAGTTCCACAACGTGAATCGGAGCATGTATTGACCGTGTATGAATTTCGTTGTTGAAATAAAGATTTGCACAATATTCTCCTGAGGGTTTTTGGTTGTCTTTTACTGTTGATGAATTTATATTTTTCCAGCACTTTGGACATTTTCTCATCGGTCTGTAGAAGGTTGTTAAGGTTATATTTCTGTTCTTCGGATTGTAGGTATTTAAAAGCGGTTAATATTGAGGCATCCGGATTGTCACTTTTTGAGGAATTAAGAAGTGTTTCTCTGTCGATTTATGTGGCCTTTTTTATCCCGTCCTCAATGATTCCGGAAGGATAACATTGTTCAAGAAAATACTTTTTCAATTCATCTAGACGTTCATCTCTTGTTTTTTCGTCGCTTACTATTGTGCAGACTCTTCTAGCTAAATTGTACACATTTTTGAATTGTTTTGAAATGTAAAACGCCTGAAGAAATAATGAAGAAAGCGCTTACGCTTATATATATATATATATATATATATATATATATATATATATATATATATATATATATATACACTTAAAATAAAGAAGAAGAACAAAAAAAAAACTCCAGTAAAGCTTTAGGCCTTTCATTCTATCTTCGGAAACTTTACAAAATAAACAACTGTAGTAACATAGTTATGTTACACAATAATTGGTTGAGTATATGACGTCATAATTATGAAGTCAAATGAACTATGACGTCAAAGTTAACAGCTCATTGCGTACAGGTAAAATTACGGGAAATTTTCAAGTTCTTAATAAAATGCAGATATTCATATGCATACACTCGAGTCGAAAACGTAAGTCTCGCCCTCTATCACGTTTTCTTACCCTCGCCCAACTATCGCTTATATTTTAAGATTGTTATCATGCATTTTGTTTATCCTGCAACATATTCTTTACAATTGAATGTCATGCAATGAAATTGCCCCCCCCCCCAATTTTTTTTAGTTTCAACAATAAACCTTATATACAAACTGAAGGCACCGCTATTGGGTCAAACCTTTAACGAATCTATGCCTGTTTATTGATGGAGAAAGGGAAAAATGTCCTTTTGGTGAATTGCACACAACAACTTCCTTTTTGTCTAAGATATATTGACGACATTTTTTGTATCTGGATGGGGACAGAATATGAACTACATTATTTCCATATGACTGCAAATAATATTCACCCCAGAATCCACCTTGAGCTGCGTTTTTCAAAAATAAAAACAGAGCTCCTTCATGTTTCTTTTTCTCTGGAAAACAAATATCTTACAACACATCTTTACTACAAACCAACTGACAAACATTTATACTTTAACAAAACCTCCAGCCATCCCGAATCTACAAAAAAGTTCAAATTCGTATGGCCTTGGTCTAAAAGCACGTCTATTTTCTCTACAGAGGAAAACTATCAAAACCAACGTGATAAAATAAAAAAAAAGAACTTGCAAAAACGAGGATTTTCAAGTAATGAAGTAAAAAAAAATTACAAAGGTCGACAAACTCAATCGCTCAGATCTACTAAATTATAGGAAAAAATCGAGATGTGACCTTAGTCCCATAGTGTTGACCTATTCGAAAGGAATACCGAATTTTCATAACATTTTAAATTAAAGGTAACAATTCTTGAAAATTCTGATCGCCTGATCTATGCTTTCGAATAGACCCCAATCGTAGCGTACAGAAGAGAGAAAAAATTGAAAGACATTTTAGTGTATAAAAAAAAAACATAATTTATTTTCTAAGAAAGGAAATTCATGTGAGCCACGTGGGGCTAACAAATGTATTTTATGTTAATTTGTTGTGAACACCAGCCAGTTTGAAGATAATAACGGAAACATCTTTCAAATAAAGAATTATATTAATTGTAAATCTTGGAATGTTTTTTATGTTTTTTTGTAACAAATGTGACAAAATAATGTATGTCGAAGAAACGGGTGAAAGTTATATCAAAGACATGTTTTGAATACATCTTTAATTAGAAGGCACACGAATGTACCTGTGGCTGCCCATTTCAATTCAGATGTACATTAAGTAGAAGATTATAATATAATCGGCATTAAAAACTGTATAAGAATGACATTTTAATGTAAATATAGAGAAAATCTTAAGAAGAGAAAGTTTAAGTCTTATGAACCATTTGGTATCAACAAGAGGAAACACTTCTGTCTTTAATTTGCATTTATGAACATTTGTGTGATATCGTGATACTTATTTTTATAGATATACATTTATATTTACTTAAATATCATCTTTTTAAATATACCCCGTTTGTTAGTATTTTGATTTGTATTATAAAAATTGTGATTTCACATGAACAATTTATTGTCTCGCAATATTTTCAGATGTTTTAGCGCAATTTCATGACATGACGTTGCCTCTTAATTTTCATGTTCTTTGTGACGTCATAATACGTTGTCCGTTGTTGAGTTGCTATGCATTCAAATAAACACGACTGATGATGCCGGTAGCACGGTCGAAATATTTCAAGTATTTGTATATAGTTTTTGCCCTGTAGTTTTGTCTGCCTATCTGTCTGTTTGTCCACAAAAACCTAGGCCAAAACATTTGATTTTTTGAGGCTATAGCATTCATATTTCACATGAGTATTCCTTGTAAAAAGACCTTTCTTCGGATACCATCAATTTTGACATTGGCCTTGCTATCTGATCAAGTTTTACAAAATTTTACCCAATTTTAATTAATCTTAGCCATAACTTTAACAGTTAGTGCTTGGGCTTTTATTCTATACACATACAATCCTTGTCACAAGACCTTTATTATTAATAACTTTGATCCTTCGACCTTGACCAAGAAGTTGGACATACTTTTTTTTATAAATACTTTATCCTTGTGAATGACTTTTGAACGGTTAAGGCTAGAATTTTCATATTCACCTATGCAATCCTTGTGACAAGACCCTCCTTTTGAAACCAATAATTTTGACCCTTTGACCCTGACCTACTTAAAAAACTTTCACCTTGTTCATAACTTTTCAACAGACTGTGCTAAGGCTTTTATTTTTCACAAGTTTTTTTGAGAAAGTTTAACCTACCCTAAAAGTTGCAATACGGGGGCACAAGTGTTTCACAAGCACATCTTGAATTTTTCATGCTTTTTTATGTCCAAAAGTGATTTATTATTTACCTACAGTATGATGAGTTTCATGTGTTGTTAATATGTTTTCTTGTTTAACCTTTTCACTGCCATCCAGATTTCAATTTCAAATTACATACAGTGCAGTGACAGTTTTCTATTACGTTTAATATATGATGTAACGTAACTGTGACGTCACAATCAAAGTAAATGAAGGTATAAATACTTTTTGCAGAAAATGGTTAAAATAATTACAATAAAGAATAAATTCTACATCGACAGGATCCTTTGAAAAAATACATTTACACAACATACAAAATATATGCTAAAACTATTTTTTTTTTAGCAATGTAGATAAGGATGGGGTTTCTGGTTTGTTTTTTTAAAAATAAGAAATATGATTTTATATGTAATGTCAAGTACCTGTGGTTCATATATATAATGCACATAACTAACGAAAACGAATAAAGTTTAAAAAATTTACGAATGCAGTGTAATTAAAACATATGCATAATTAAGTACTTGCAGGTTTTCGTGATTCAGCATTGAAATTAAGTCGGACTTGAAAAAGATGCATATATTTACCCTTACATTTTAATACATATTTAAATCGTAGATCTTGCATATTAGCAAATGCTCGAATAAACCTAAATTGGTTCGATGTTCCGAACACAAAAGGGGTTGTCTTACTTTTTATTTAGCTTTTCCAAAATAAAAAACAAATACTTGCAAGTGTTTCAACTTACAACAATAAAAATGGGGTATGGGGGGCACCTAAATAAACATTTACTATTAATAGAAACTAAACCGAGTAAAACAGTAACCACCACCCCGCGTTAATAGGCCTTTGCACAATCACCTTTTCCTGATCCTCTTGTATTGTTTTAAATTTATTAATTATTCATTAAATTTACAGTTTGTAGTGTTGTTCTGTACGCAGTACTAGACGTTTTCGTTTTAATTTTTTTTTTGTTCTTTTATGACCTTTTAACCTTGTCTATTCCCTAGAAAATTTTAATTCTAAAACTATACAGTGCATCATTGCTTCCTACTTCAATAACAGCACTGTAACCATAGCTCATTGTGTTTGGAAGGTCGTGAGTTCCATCTGTGGCTGCGACGGATTTGAATGTGAAATAATGATGCTCCCCCCCACTATGTCAGCTCTTAGCGAAGGTTAAAGTTTTTCAATTGCGAGTCAAACTCCAAGGACAAGAGGTGATACATAATGTTTATTTTTATTATTTATAAGATTTAATTCTTTATTGATATATCCTTTATATTGATTTCCGTTGTTTAACTATGATCCACATTATTTTCTCTGCTATTCTCCTGATTGGACATGATTGGAACAAATTTAAGTCTTCATTACCTTTTTCAATGCTTTATATCTATGATCATAATGGCTTTCTTGTTCTTGTGAAGAATTTTCACGATTTTTTCTATGTATTCCTACATAATTATTGATCACCCATTGTGGCAACACTTAACCGCGCAGGTCATGATTTGAACAAACTTGAATCTACATTACCCGAGGATGCTTTCATATCAATAATATATAAACAATTGAAGCTTTTCTATTCTCGAGAAGAATAATTTCGATGAAATTTTCTTTCCAATCCTACTTAAAACTTGATCAGCTATTATGGCCCCACCCTTGTCCAATGGGTCATGATTTGAACAAAATTGAATCCACACTATACGAAGATGCTTCAATATAACTTTGGCCAATCTTGGCTTTGCTGATCTTGAGAAGATGTTTTAAAAAGTTATCCTATGCATTCCTATGTAAAACTTTGATCCTCAGTTGTGGCCCCACCCTACTCCCAGGGGTCAGGATTTGTACGAACTTGAATGTATGCTACCTGATGAAGATACTTTTATTTTATTATTGTATACAAGGTTACCTTCGCTGCCGCTTTATTTTCATCTTTTCACCTTTGAAAACAGTTTAAACCCGTTTTAAATTTGTCCAGTCACAGTTTTGTTTCAGAAATTATACTCTTTAAATTCGCCCCTTTTAAAAATTCGCCCAACCATATTAGGGCGAAAATGGCGAAAGAAAAAAACGGAGGCAAAAAAATTAAAGTTCGTCATGGGTACATGTAATATATGACGAGTAAAAAATTCTAGTATCAGATGGGAAACAAAAGACAATCAATAAATAATATAGCAATGAACTTGTTTCCATGTCGTTATACTTAAACATTTTTATTAGCAATGTGCTTAGTGTCTTTGTAATACAGTCCAAAGATGATTTATTTTAAATCGTTTTTAATGCGTCCAAAGAGAACATTTTAGTACAAAAAGTGACTGTTTGAATACTAGAAAATGTATATATTTAATTGTACTAGTTACAGGGCTACAAGATTTGTTTGATTTAGTACATATAGCCGCTAGCACGAATTTTCAAAAACCCCGTTTTCCCATGATGTTTCCCCCAAAAAATTCCCGTAATTTTTTATTATTAAATCTACATTCTTTCTATTGCATAAAATATTGATTGTAAAAAACATTCAATGTTGTGGGGTAAACGCCAATAACAACGTATGTGATTTTTTTCGTGCACTCTTCAATCAAGTAAGTTCTTGTGGTGGATACTTTGTCATTTTTGGGAATAGATTAATTCACTTACCTGTGCACAGTATAATCAACACTACTCCCGTCGCTACCACCCCTAGGGCGACTCTGTTGAAATCAATAGAAAATTATTATTATCAATTTACTAAAAAAGAAATCGCATATTTTGAATTAAACAGTCTCTAAATCGTTCAGTATTCAAAATTGAACGGTGATCGACCGATGAGTAAATGGCGAGGGTAGGTGAGACGCATATTCGTGCTGGTTAGTGATCGGTGAATGTAGAGTAAAAGCAGCAAAAAAAAGAGTGTGCAAACCGAAAATAAATTTTTAAAATGCATTTGCAATTTTTTTAAATACAAAGATTTGCATGATTCTTTAGGATACATGTTTTAAAAAGAAACTTTAAACCATCTGTCTATTGTTTACAAGAATCAGAGAAAAATTCAGTCTTTTCCTTATGGGCAAATGATATACTTATCAGCTCAGGAAAATCAAATGCAAGAGGGACATTAATCCTTTTTTATAACGTAAATGAAATCAAAATTTCTAGATTATAGTGATGGTTAAGGAAATTTCATCATATCATATATATGGGTGCATAACATAAAAAAAACTGTGCTTAATTGTTATGGTTAAAATCAGTCTTTTAAAGAAAATTTTAGACAATTTTATTATCATGTTATTTGAAATGAATGCAATACAAGATTACCAGTCAAATTGTGAAAAAAAATCTAATAATATGTTAGAGAAACTAATCCTATGAACAAACTTTGAAATAAAAAAAGTCAAAATTTAATTTAGTAGATTCCTGGAGAAACAAAAATCCAAATGTAAAATCAATATATACATTTACAGATATGGAGTATGAACAATCCAGTAAACAAGCTAGACTTTACTTTGTTTAGTATAAGAGAAAACCCTGTCAATTGTAATTTATTGTAATGATGTTTATAAGAAGCCAGGCTAAAAATGATTTCTATTCCAGAATAAGAAATCACTATTAATTTAAAAGTGGAAAAGAATTCTTTTAATTATTTCTTTTTGAAAACAACAGAAATTATTAAGCAATTAATGTTAAAAAGTTTAATGTTTATGGATGATGAAAACCGTATTTTCCATTATCTGTTTCTTTATATTCTATTGATAAAAACAAGAGATATGGTAGTACAGTTGTCTGCAAAAGCACTAGAGAAAGGAGATATGACAAATCAAGGATCAATTAAATCTTTACATGATACATTATGTATGTTTGCCTATAACCATTTGTCAATCTACATATTAATGTACTTCGATATGATAAATAATCATGAGACAGATTTAGAGGACATTAGAAAGTATGCTTTAATTTTTGTTAAGTGGTCATTGTAAGTGGATAAAAGATGTGGAAAAACCTATAAAATATTTTCAAACACTCGAATTAGAAATTACGCCAATAGAAATTTCAACTACTAAATCAATATTGATGGTGTATTTGGAAACAAACAGCAAGACTTCTTGGAAGAAGCAAAACAAAATTTAAAAAAAACTATACGAAAATATACAGATCAAGAACTCGATGACATAAACCCTTACTTTAAAAGTATGATGTTTCCAAAATAATTAATAGCATGAAAAGATTTCAAGATGCGTAAATCACCATAATGAAAGAATTTCAAGTTCTTTATCTTGAAACAATCATAAAAAAAAGAAAATGATGTTTTACAGCAGAATTTTTCTATTTATTGGACAAATATTAATTCATATATTCTTAAATTAATAATACAGTAAAGTTGGTCAGTAAGCTTATACCCAGATAAATTGGAATAACCTCTATTCAAAAAGGCAATAAGTCAAGGAAACTTTTAAAGAATTAGAGACCACAACATTACTTATCACGTACAATACCAACCAGACACAACCTGAAACAATAAATTCCCAGTGACTGCTTTTTGTGACTGCTAAAGCAGTCCAACGTACCAGTCCAGCCCAACAGCGGTTCTAAAGCAGTTCCAGCTGTCCCAGAAATCAGTCAAAGCAGTCCCAGTAAGCGGGGTTTATTAATTTAATGGGTGGAGCCTACTGAGAAATGAGAAAACCAATAAACTATGTTACTATCAAAGTTGAAAATGATAATATTTCGACCCAAGTTGTTTTTACGAAAAACTATTTAGAAAAAAATGTGTACATTAATGAGCAATATTCATTTTTATAAATTAAAAATGAAATCAAAATTAATCTTTATTTTATATGTACATTTTATGAATTATTTAATGTGTATATAAATACGTATGTATCATAACAAATTATTTTATTAATAATCAAACATGAATATGATTATGAATGTGTCTGTAGTACATGCCAAACGTCCTTACAAACAATGGAATTTGCAATTATACGACAGTTTTATAATAAATTTATATTCAAAAAAGTATAGAAGCTTACAAGATAATCAAGATGGGTTAACTAGTCTACAGAACAACAGGTCTACAAGACGACAGATTTATAGTCTGACAGATCTACAGTTTGACAGATGTACAGGTCTGCAGTTCGACTTGTATGCAGCTCGACAAGACTAGAGGTTCACAGGTCTACGAGTCGACGTGTCTACTGATTGACAGGTCTACATATGGACAGAATCATAGGTGCACAGGTTCGCAGGTTGATAGGTCTACAGATCGACAGATCTGCATGTCTGCAGGTTGACAGATCGATAGGTCTACAGATCGATAGGTCTACAGGTGGACAGATCTACAGGTAAAATTAACGTTATTTCAGTCAGTGAAAGCATTCGAGGAAGAAGTACGTAAAAATAGAATCGGTTATGTCCTTCAGAGAAAGAGTCTTTAAGTCATTATGCAAGTCAAAGAACACCTGTATGTCAATCACATATTTGCAGCGGCATCTTAAGGATACACCAAAGCTTTTTTCAAGATTTTTGCCAATTTGGAGATTTTTGGCATAGAAAACAAGGCTAAGCACTGCTTTATAATGCATGAAAAATTCTTGCTGATTATTAAATGATTTTCTAATTATTTAACAATAATCAAACATAAACACTAACACATGTGAATGTGCCGTTATTGGAGCTTCTGATTTGGTCTGTAACTGCCTGCTTCTGAAAGGCGCAATAAATCACTGTGACCACTTGGGGAATTCTTCACTAGCCACTCAGAGGTTATCAGTATTAAACTACAGGGACTCTAGATTAAGGGAAGTAGATCTAACAGGTCACTAATGACCATGAAATAGGAGGTGGAGCTTAGCTCTTGCCATTTTGCCGGGAAATCTTCCTGATTCAGAATTGAACCTATTTTACTTCATTAAAAGCACCTAAATAAAGAATAGAACCTCCCATTCTTGTTAATATGCATAGGAAATATGGATAAGTGACAGGTATCCAAAGCTGAATCTCCAAGGTGTCATATATTTCTAGCTTTGGCAGAATTTGTTGTGTAATGGGTTTTTGCCCTCTACTGTAATGTATTATTTCAAAGGATTCAGCTCCCTTATTTATTGACCAAATTCTCTGAAAACTGGCCAAAATGCGTCTCAAATATGTGTTCACAAAACCGTATCTCATATTTTTGATATCTTGCTCAGTCCGTGAATTATTGGGGAAATGTAGAATTGGGCTAATAAATTGGTAACATTGAAAGACAAATGGATGTAACTTTTGAATAAGAAGATTTATCAAAAATCTGAGATACGATTTTTAAGTTCAATATTTAATCTACATTGAGGCAAAATTTTGACTTTGAGAGGCGGAATACAAAAAAGTTGATAAAATATAAATTCACTAAAATTTACATTAAAATATTAATACTTTTTTAATCAGATAAAAGTGAAAATTTTAATTAAGGACAGATGATACAAACAAATTTTTTCTTTGAAAAAGATTAAATATCATGTCACAAGTTTAGAAAATATTCACGGTCAGGTTATTGTAACTATCGAATAACATAGAGCTTCTTTCCCATATTTGATTTTGATCATTGATTTTGAATCTGATTGTTAGTTTGATTAATTGTGACATAATGATACTGTTGTGACATCCATGAACATAATGTCACATAAAAAATGGAAGACAATCATGAAAACTCAAAGATTTGTTAGTACTACAATGAAAACTAAGTTAATTGTTAAGTTTTATGACTTAAATTAAATAATATTAGATTGCTTCTGTTTTTCATTCAGAAAAATAATAAGTACCTGTATATCTCTTTTATATTGTCTTTCTAGGCAGATTTTTAAAAGAATATATTTTTCTTAGAATCGTTTGAAGTTTACAAAAAAAAAAGATTATCAGTGATATCCCCATGTATGTATGTGGTAATGCATATGTTTCAAAAATAAAAATTACAGTAATTAGTTTTAGTTGAATTACAGTATCTCGAAAGGTTTAGATTTCGAAAATTAGAATTATTTAAGGAAAGAAATGGAAAAAGAGCTTTTATTATGAAGATTCGCCCAAACGGCATTGACGCAGACATTGGGGAACATCAAAGGAAGCTGACCATTATTGCCTGCCATCAGTTAAAAAAAATATAGATTTTTAAAGCAATTTCAATGATGACTCAACACTTGGACCACATGTTAAGGCGTTTCTAATGCAGAAACCCTGATTAAGTTCCTGTGGTGATTGGCTAGAATGTGAAGTTGTTTATTTTATAAATACCATATATGTTACAACGCACTTTGAAAAAAAATTCAAAGTGCGTTAAATTTGGGACTAAGCTAACGCACTTTGAAAAAGTATATTTTTTTCCAAAGTGCGTTGATATCGACCATATTAACGCACTTTGAAAAAAATGTGAAGATTAATAAATATTCTAACAAATAATCGGTATGAAAAATAACAGATCCTGGTTGGATAACTTTTTTTTATGATAAAGTCACCTCAGGACCTGAGATATTGACGTTTTAAATATTTGAGGTTTTGATAAAATAAAAGGGAAAAGTATTGAAAAAATAGTGACAATTGTTTAAGATCATTAATTCGTTTCGTTTTTTAAATTCTAGAATTTGATACATGTCAGTAGATGTAAATGTGTAAAGGGACACTAACAGTGGACAAATTTAAGCAACTTAGCATTTATCATAATTAAAAAGG